TCTCTCTCTCTCTCTCTCTCTCTCTCTCTCTCTCTGTGTCTCTCTCTGTCTCTTTCTCTCTGTCTCTCTCTCTGTCTCCTCTGTGTGTGTGTGTGTGTCTCTCTCTGTGTGTCTCTGTCTCTTTCTCTCTCTGTGTGTCTCTCTCTGTCTCTGTCTCTCTCTCTCTCTCTCTTTCTCTCTCCACACACATATACATACATACATACATACATACGTACACACACATATATGTATATGGATGCATATATAATTATAAAGTTTTCAATCCAGGGAAATTATACCTGGCACATCACCTTTACTAAATTATTTAACTTGGGTACTCGGGTTTCGTGCCTGAAGGTACAAACGATGCCCCCCCCCCTTTTTTTATGGGCCTCCTATTCTAAACTCTCCTGGTTACTAATGGCCTTTAATTTGTCTCTGACAAGGAGCACTGATCACGATTCATGTCAGAACATTAATATTTGAAAGCATTGGGCAGGATATCCAGACTCTTGAGAGGAAACGATAGCATTATTAAGCTATTAAAAAAATTGTAGCTCAGAATGCAGCAACAGGGAGCCCCCCCCCCCCCCACGCCCCCCCAGTAAAAGCTGTTCTTTTCAAGCGACTCGATGAGAAACCATTCTGGATCTTGATCGGTTTTACTTTGGGATCAGTGCCCAGTAGCCCAACTTGGAATACTGAAAAAGTAATAGTATGGAAGAGTATAGGTATTGGTAGTCCTTGACTTACAACCACAATTAAGCCCAAAATTTATCTTGCTAAGTGAGAAAGGGAGCTTTGCCCCCCCCCCCCCCCCATATTTTACAACTTTCCTTTTGCCACGTTTTTTTTATGTGAATCACTGCAGTTGTTTAATTAATAACAACGTCGTTAAGTGAACCTGACTTTCCCCACTTGTCAGAAGGTCGCAAAAGATGGTCACATGACCCCAGGACACTGCAACCGTCATAAATATGAGTTAGTTCAGAGCATCTGAATGTAAATCACATGACTGTAAAGGTCATAATTATGAAAAAATGGTCATATAACTCACTTTAATCAGTGCCATCGTAACTTCAAACCGACACTAAGCGAACTGTTGTAAGACAAGGGCTACCGTAGTTCTCACCTTATGACTATAGTTGGGACTAGAATCTCCATTTCCAAGCAAGCTGGTTTGTGCGTTCGATTTTGCAACCATTTTTACCTTAGTTATTAAGTAAACCTTAAATCTTAAGGTTTCTTTCCGGGTCCCCAGAGCTGTTGAAACCTAGAATTGGAAGGAGATTGTCCAGTTAAGTGTCTATGGAGATTCTCAGCCATCCAGCTTCATGGTTGTCCCAAAGGTGCTTTTTCAAGAGGCAACTGGACTTTCTGGTTTATTACTTTGAAGACGTTTCTCTTTTCATCCAAGAAGCTTCTTCAGCTCTGACTGGATTGGTGGGGAATGATTCAGTCAGAGCTGAAGAAGGTTCTTGGGTAGGAAGCGTTTTCAAAGAAAAATAAAGTCCAGTTGCTTCTTGAAAAAAAAAGCATATTTGGGACAGATTGTCTCGTTGTACAATTTGCAAACCTGGAAAGCAACCTTAGCTGCTGCGTTGGCTTACGCTAGGTCAGACAGCATTACAGCTCTTCGTGGTTAAAATTTCATCAACCTACTTCTCATTCCAGCGTCTTATTTCAGATTACCAGAAGGTGCTAACCCTCATCCCTCCCTCCTTCTGTCTTCTATTTTGCATGTTCGGTCTTTCTTCTGTTCGCTGGTATCAGCTATGCCGTCTTATACCATCTTCAGAGCAGGCCTGCCTGACTTCGATAGGAGAAATGGCCAAATTGATAAATTAAACAGGATTGTGGGCTGCAAAGGAATATCTGGCACACCGGTTAGCTCTCTGGTGGCTAGCAGAGCACTGGAGCTGACAGGCATAGAGCAGCACATCTTTTGTGTGTGTGTGTGTGTGTGTGTGTGTGAATTTGTTGACTTTCTAAGAAATACCTGGGGCTGCATACATGCAGGATTGGTTTAGAGCAGGGGTGTCCAACCTTGGCAACTTTAAGACTTGTGGACTTCAACTCCCAGAATTCCTCAGCCAGCTTTTCTGGGAGTTGAAGTCCACAAGTCTTAAAGTTGCCAAGGTTGGACACCCCTGGTTTAGAGGATATTTGTTGAGAGAAACACACACACACACACACACCCGTGGCATTCATGCTCCTTTTTCCCTTGCCCCCATTTTAATCTTTGAATGATAAATCGTCAGCATAACTGATTATTCTTATTAGTGTTTTATCTTTTTAATATTTGCAAGCTGCTCAGAGTCGCCTCCGGACGAGATGGGAAGCGCATAAATCCAAATACATACGTACATCGTACGCGCATACGTGCACACATGCAGCACCAGGAAATGAAGACAGGGCAGTGGGGGAGAAGGTGTGCCTGAGCCTCCAGCACTTTCTGATAATTGGGAAATATTATTCTGTGGTCGTGTTGGTTCCCATGCCTATTTTGTTCATCTCCCTAACTAGATTTGTTGGGCTCGAGACTTGAAAACGAAGGGGACAGCGTTTTGCAAACGCAGGCTTGCCTGTGCTTCATTTGTGCCGGAAATGTGGAGAAGTTAGTTTCCTGTTGGACTAAAGCCCAGGATGGAAACAATCCACTGTCTCTTCAGGTGAGGCCCTATTATTTTCGATTCCCTTTGGGTCTCAGTCATTGAAAGATGCACCGTATAATCCAGAGTTCCCAGACCTTTCTGGTTTGGCAGGCCAAGGGGGGAGGGGCAAGTGCCTTTGCACGAGCGTGTGTCTACACTTTACACCAGCGTGTGCGCGAGCAGGCCCGCGAGTGCCCACGCAACAAAAATGGGGTTGTGAGTGCCCTCACAATCCTTGCAGTGACGCTAGTGTGAGGGGACTGCCACTCACACAGCCTAGTGGTCAAGAGGCCACAGCCTGGTATAGGGGGCCATGGCCCACTGGTTAGGGACCCCAGGTGTAGGGGCTCCTGCTTGAGCAGGGGGTTGGACTAGAAGACCTCCAAGGTCCCTTCCAGCTCTATTCTGATTGAAGTCAGTTCTACTTGAAGAGTCAATCATATCAGTCTGTTTCAAGCTTGGTCTCCTTTATTTGTTGTTCTCCTTGCATTTCGCGCTCCCAGGATCTCATTGAAAAAGTGGTCATTCTGCGTAAAGCTGTCCAACAGACCCAGGTGATGGATGCCAATGCTGTCGGGGTCCTTCTGGCGGAAAAGATGAGCCAGTATGCCAACCTTTTGGCTTCTCAAGGCAGCATCGCTGCAGCGTTAGCTTTCCTTCCGGCTAATACCAACCAGGTAAACGGACTTCACTGTGTCTATCTACGTTTTCTTCTTTTGCCTTTTACAGGTGGTCCTCTACTTACGACCACAGTTGAGTCCAAAATTTCTGTTGCTAGGTCAGACAATTGCTAAGTGAATTATGCCCCATTTTACAACCTTTCTTGCCACCCGTTGTTCAGTGAATCACTGCAGTTCAATTAGTAACATGGTTGTTAAGTAAATCTGGCTGCCCCATTGACTTTGCTTGTGGGAAAGGTCGCAAAAGGGAATCACATGATCCCAAGACATTGCAGCCCTCATAAATATGAGTCAGTTACCTGACTTAGGGGCTGATGCAGTAACAGTGAAAATAGATCGTAAGTTGCACTTTTCAGCGCCGTTGTAACTTTGAACGGGGACTATATGAACTGTTGTAAGCCAAGTTCCACCTGTACTAGATTAGCCTACACCACGGGTGTCAAACTCAAGGCCTGAGGGCCAAATCCGGCCTGCGGGGTGCTTAGATCTGGCCCGCAGGGCCGACCTGGAAACAGTGAAGAACCGGCCCGCGGTGCCTCTGCCAGCAAAAACGCAGCTCAGGAGGGCTCCGTTTTTGCTGGCAGAGGGTTGCGGGATATCATCCCAGCTGAAAACGGAGCTCAGGAGCCCATTTTCATTGGCAGAGCGTTCGGGCCACCACAAGTGCCCCCTCGACACAAGCTGGCCACACGTGACACCCCGGGCCCCTGGATATCAAACACAACCCTTGATGGGGCCCACAATGAAATCTAGTTTGACAGCTCTGGCCTACACGATTGAAGGTAGCCGGAGAGAAGACAAGTTCAGTCAGTCATCTCCAAACTGGTTGCTACGAGTCCATTGCTTTCTGTGGCTTTTGTTGACAACATAAACTCCTCGTCCTCTTGATGGATCTAGTCCTGTGAACGTACTTAACGGGGTCTTTTCTCCTTTGCCAGCCCAACATCGTGGTGCTACGGGACAGGATCTGCAAAGCGCAGGGGGAGCTTCCCAGGGGCTCAGAGGCACCCCCAGCACCCTACGAGAGGCAACCAGCAGCCAAGGGGAGGAGTGGCCCTGCTGCTGGTCAGATGCCGCAAAACCCAACTCCGCAGTATTATCAGCAGGTAAAAGGCTCTTTCAGCTACCGCCCTTACGTCGGTGGGGACAGCATTTTAGTGTTTCTGCATGACGTTCTGCTCAAAATTACCCAGAAGCGTGCCTTGAAAACTCTTTGAGGAAGAGCTTGTTATTCTACTTTCATTTTGGGAAGAGGTTCCTTGTCCTCTCGTTCCAGAGATATTTTTTGGAAATCTTGCCTAGTTAAGCTGCTGGAGGTTTCGTGCAGTAGCTAGTCAAGGTTTTTCTAATTTGAAAGGCTCTTGGGAATGCTGGTTGTATTTTGCCCCCAGCTAACGTCTGCAAGAACTCTTCCTTCTCCGTTTCTTGCTTTTAATTTCCCCTCTGGATCTTGAGTTTTAATAAAGCTTAGTCAGTCGTCATTTCTAGTAGACACCTTGCCCCCAAAATGTTATAGCAGGTCACTTGGCTCAACTTTTTTTCCCTGGAGACTTTCTAGATCAGAGGCCTCCAACCATGGCAACTTTAAGACTTGTGGACTTGTCCCAAAGGTGGTTTTTTTTTTTCAAGAGGCAACTGAACTGTCTGGTTTTTCTTTGAAGACATTTCGCTTCTCATCCAAGAAGCTTCTTCAGCTCTGGCTGGATGTTGGGGAATGGAAGGATTTATACTCCTTGCAGACAGCTGGTCATTTGCATTCTTTTAGTGAGTCATTAAGGCCACCTGGAGGTTTATCTGGGTCATCCAAGTCCTCCATCGACTTATGGACTTCATCCTGAGTGGTGCAAATGGATGTGGAGCCTTCTTGGAACTGTTGAAAGAACTGTGTTGTCGGCTGGATCATCTATCAATTTATCTCCAGTCTATAACACAGTCCTTTCATCAGTTCCAAGAAGGCTCCACACCCATTTTCAGTACTCAGATGACCCTGAACCTCCAGGTGGCCTCAATCATCATCATCTTTTAATGACCTCATAATCCCTTGAAGGGTGGCATGCTGGGCAACTGAATGGAGCTAGTAGAGTGTTTAATGGCCGGATGCCCTTCTCCGTCGCCAGTGCCGAGTGTTGTTCAGCAGATAGATTCTCAGTGTGCCCAGAGAGAGAACTCTCTGCCTCTACCCAGGATCAAACTCACAGCCTCCTGATTGTGAGGCGAGAGCTCCGTCCAGGTGGTCTCAACAACTCTAAAAGGATGCAAATGACCAGCTATCTGCAAGGAATATAAATCCTTCCATTCCCCACCATCCAGTTAGAGCTGAAGAAGCTTCTTGGATGAGAACTAAAATGTCTTCAAAGAAAAAAACGATCAACCGGTTGCCTCCTGGAAAAGCACCTTTGGGACAACCATGACCTGGAGGACTGAGAATCTCCATCGACTTATGGACTTCCAACTCCCAGAATTCCTCAGCCAGCCATGGCTGCCTGAGGAATTCTGGGAGATGAAGTCCACAAGTCTTAAAGTTGTCAAGAACGGATACCTTTGTTCTGGATGGAATGCAGTTCCCATTATCCCCTGACAACAGACTGAAGTCAACGAATATTACACAGACCTGTAAATCGGGATCCCCAACCATCACCACCCAGTCCACAGCCTGGTACCAGGCCGCGGGCCTGTTGGGAACCAGGTTGTGCAAGCAGAGGGTGACTGCGCAAGCGGATGAAGCTGCGTTGTGCAAGTGGCCCACGTGTGTGTGTCAGAAACCACCCCCTCTCTCCCCCTCTCCTCTCCCTGCCCTTCCCCCGCCCGCCCCAACCTGAAAGGTTTGGGACCATTGCTATAAATAATCTCTCTGTGGCACCCAACCAAAAAAAAAAGGCTCATAAACCAAAAAGAGGATGGTTCATTTCTTTCAGGACACAAACCCACCAGCATGAATGTTCTTGTGGGTTTATTGTCGATCTACATTCCAATAGGTTTCTTTCTGTGAGCTGTTTATGAAGCTATTTTATGGGCATGTAGAACGAAAGCTACAGTATTTCCTATTGATTCCTTCCCCCCTGATAAATTGGGCTTGGTTGTGGTATTGATTCCTGAGAAACATCCTCATTCTCCTTCCTCGTTCACATCCAGGCATTGATGTGGGCATAAGACAGAAGCCCTATCCAGCGTCCTACATCCATTTGGAACAGCAGTTTGACCCCAGTCTCTGTTGGGGTCCAGATAGTGAGTGGTGGAGCTGTTAAAGGTGCTATCTGGCTGACCCCTTACCAAGACTTAAAGGTCCTATTTTACTTCTTAAAATCCCCTCAAATAAAAAGAAAACAGTTTTGCCTCCATGTGTACTTTAACATTATCTGATTATCTCAACCTGCTTCCATATAAAGTCCCTTAGTCTTTCTTAAAACTAAAACTAAGGAGAAATTTTCTGACAATTAGAATCATTACTCAGTGGAACCCACAACTCCAGAAGTTGTGGGTGCTTCAACGCTGGAGGTTTTCAAGGAGAGACATTTCAAACTATTGGTTTGAAATGGCATACGGTTTCCTTCTTAAGCAGAGGGTTGGAAGAAGAAGGGATCTCTAAGGTCCCTTCCAACTCTGTTATTCTTTTGCATTCTTTTGCCTGTGAGGAAGCGTCCCACCCTTGATTATCCATGTTCCTTCCCTCTGTCCCCTTCCTCCATTGACTTTCTTAACTGAGTTGCACCCTTTGATCAAGAAATCAAAAAACTCAGAGCTTGCAGAAGGCTATGATTCTTGCAAGCAAATGAAATGTAACAGAGTTTGCAGCAGCTCTATGTAGAGGAAAAGCCAACCTTGTTCCAGCCTTGTTCTATCAGCCTATGGCTGCAGGAAGAACCTATAATAATGATTGAAGAGAATATTTGTGGCTCAGGATTAAACCAAGAGAACTTTGTTGCTTAGTGATTTTCTTGCAGACGTTTCATTACCAAACTAGGTAGTGGTAGTGAAGGTAGGGTTTGCGCTGATGATGTTACCTAGTTTGGTAATGAAACATCAGCAAGAAAACCACCAAGCTCAGAGAACCCTCTTAAGGACCCCACAATTACATATTAATCCAACAATCAGTTTTTAAAGGTGGTCTCTTAATTAATAGCAGACCAAAAGCCAGCAGAATATAATTAATTACTGATGGGAGTCATCTGGTTATTGGAATATGAGAAAGACAAAGAAAGGGACAATCTGAACATTTAATCATACAGAATAAATTCTGGGTAACTCAAAATATATTATTTTGCTAAGGACTGCTTTGGTTGGCAAAATAAATGTCCATAAAGGTAAGGTGGGCAACCTTTGATGTCCAGAAGCTCCTCTTAATGTTTTCTATGAGGTGGAACCTAGAATGGGTGTTGCAGTGATGGAGAATGTGGAGGCCGTGTCAGGCAGATAAACAGGTCAGGATATTCCACCCACCCCCACCCCGGGGTGAGATAGGCCAACCTTTTTGACGCCGCGGCCCGGTACCGGCATCATCTGGGCGCCGCGGCCCGGTACCGGCATCAGCTGGGCGCCGCCATCTTTTTTTGATGAAAAAGTGCGCCGGGCCCAGCAAGCCGCGGCCCGGTAGGAGTTGTTCCGCGGACCGGTACCAGTCCGCGGACCGGTGGTTGGGGACCCCTGGGATAGGGGATTAGATTTTATTCTTCTTTAACTGTGCAAAGCCTCGTTTAGAGTTTGTTGTAGTGTTCTTGTGCTTCCCACCACAAGATGGAACCATTGGAATGGCTTGCCTTCAGAAGTTGTAGGTACTCCATCACTGGAGGCTTTTAAGAAGAGACTGGACAGACAGGCATAAGGTTTCCTGCCGAATCAAAGGGTTGGACTAGATGACTTCCAAGGCCCCTACCAATCTGTTATTCTATGCTCTCCGGTGGGAAAGACTCAATTTTAATCAAGTTAAATGCTGGATTTTGACAAGGCTTCTGCATTCTGTCAGTGGTCCCGTTATGTCTATTTTTACATCACTAGTCTGCATATGAAACATCCACAGCACTGTAGGAAATATCATCTGACAGAAGAGGGGAAATGTGCTTCGTTTCTGAAAATGGATGGGTTTGAGTTTTGTCTTTAGTCCTGGAGAACAAACATAACATAACCACTTGGTCTTAAGTTGCACCCATATGTTTCCCCTTTGCCTGTTTTAATTATCTAACCTCATTTAGCAACTTGAATCAAACATATATAGCTTTTTTCACCTGTCCCATGTCTTAATACCAAATTCCCAGTCCAGCAACTGCAGTGGACATAAAACAGTCTGTCTTGCATGAAGCTTTGCTGTACCTTTTCTTATATATATATATATATGTATCACAATACTATGTATTAGGCCCTGCATTAAAGTCTCACAACAGAAGATGCTTTCCAAAGAAAGCATGGAAGGATACCTGTTTCACATTTTTTTATTACATTGGCAAGACATTCCTGTCTAATTCTCTTTGTGTGTTATTCAGCATGACAATTCTAGCTTTGCTGCTTACCTTTTGTCAGCGGAGGAAAAATGCATGAGCTGCAAACAGTATAAACTTCTAGCATTTGTGGCATGAATATTTACTCTTAAGAGTTGGCAGTTCCGGTAAATACTAGCTGCTTGCAGGTATATTCAGTCCCTCCGTTTGTTTCCTTGTTTGCTGCTTGTTTCTTTGCATGGATGACACCAATTATTATAAATGACTTGAAAAGTTTCTTAGTGCTCATTCCTGAGCAGTCTGGCTGTCTGAAACGTTTTTGGCTTTATCACTTTCCTTTTATTTTTATTTTATTTTTTTATGTTTCCATGATTGGTATCTCTCTGTTCAATTCAGGTTAGAATTGCCCCTACTGTTACTACCTGGAGTAACAAAAACCCCACTGCCCTTCCCAGCTTTCCTGCAGCCTCTCCCTCTGAGACACAGGTATAACATTCATTATTCCTCTTTGAGCAGAATCTGCTCTCCTCCTGTAGACCTCACGCCATGTTCCTTGGCACTTTTCCCCCTTCTTTTTAAAAGCACCCTGTTAATAATTCCCCATGCGTTCTCGGCCAATCTGGGAAGCGGTTTCAGACTTTCAGCTTATCCTGGGTTTCGCCATCCTTTGTGTCTCCCGAATATTGCTCTGTTTTAAGATAACTTGCTGAATGTCAGATAATCGATGGCTTTGAAACCATCCCCGGGTTTTTTTTAAAAAATTTGTTTCCCAGAAGATCCTGAATGATCTCGCCATCCTTTCCCAATCCCCCCCGATTGCTTGAAACGGGGTCCCCGTTTATAAAACGGTCCCTGTTTATAAAAGTCTTGAAACGGATCCATTTCCCCCCTCCCTGGCCAACACAGTAAATCAATTCAAAATGCATTCAGTAATGTTGCTGCTGGAGACCGTAAGCTTCTTGGTAAATCACAACCTGAATGCTTTAGATCCAAAAATCCTTGTCGTAATGCAATAGTAGAAAGGAATGATGTGGGAGCTGAGATCAGAACATTTCGCTTCCGTGACAGGTCTTCTGCTGGGCTACGCCACCAAGACGTAACTTCTCTGTTTCTCGCTCCCCTCTCCCATTTCTTCTCCAGAGAGAGAACCCACCACCTCCTCCAGGGTTTATTATGCAAAAGGACATGAACCCCCACATGCCACCGCATCAGCCTGCCCACTCCGATTACAATATGTACACAAGACAACCATGCCCACAACGTAAGTAGCCACCATCTTCTCTGGACCTCGCGTTGCTGGGTTCCTTCAAATGACTCGGCAAATATGGGATAATCGAAGGCTTTTGTTTTTCCTCAAAGCTAACCCCTCTCTCTAAAGAAAGCATTATCCGGTGCCAACCTCCAGTGTAATCTAAGATAACTCTAGTATCATGTGTAAGAAAGCTAGCCATTTCTCTTCTCCGAGAAAATGGAGGAACAGGGAGGTCATGGGTCTTGATTTATTCTAAAAAGAGAGCTTTCCCAACATCTCGTTTGTCTTTTCTATGTTACTATTGGTATTCTTTAAAAGTGTTATCTCTGGAATAGAGAAGTGAATAAGGATAAATTGTTTCTGTTTTACAATGCATTGCCCCTTTTAGGGATAAAACAATTCTGTTTCTTGGGCACCGCTTAGACCACGGGTGTCAAACTCAAGACCCGTGGGCCAGATGTGGCCCATAGGGTGCTTAGATCTGACGAAGAAGGAGAAGAAGAATAACTTTATTGTCATTGTACAAGTACAGCGAAACTGTGGATGCACCCCAGCAACTGTTCGCAATACAATGAAACCAAAGCACTTAAAAATGAAGATAAGAAAAATAGAGTTCCCACGTCTCCATTTGCAATTAGAGAATGCAATATCTACAATATAATATACACAAAATATACATCCAACATAAGAGCAAAGAACTGGCCTGTGATGCCTCTGCCAGTGAAAACAGAGCTTGGGGGAGCCATGCATGCCACCCCAAAGCTCGGTTTTCACTGGCAGAGGGCTGCAGGCGGCTGTCACAGCCCAAAATGGGGTCCGGGCGGGGGCGTGCCCACAAGCTCCATGTTCTCTGGCAGAGGGTTAGCAAAACAAACTAAAAACAAAACAAAAGAAGTGTTTCCCCTTTTGCATTTGAGCATGTAAGAAGGGATAGGAAAGGAGAAAGGGAAAGGAAAGACAAAGAAAAGGAAGGGAAGATGGGAAGAGGGCAAGGAAGGAAACCTAAAGAAAGAGGGGAAAGAAAAAGAAAGGCAAACAAAGAGGAAAGGAAAAAGAAGAAGAAAGGGGGGAAGGGAAGGGAAGGGGGGAGGGGAAGGAAAGGGGAGGAAAGAGGGAAGGAAGGAAGGAAGGAAGGAAGGGACTATAATGAGTGTGGGAGGGTCTCAGGGAAGTCCTGCCTTAGCACTTGGCCGCCACAATTACCCCCAACAAGAGTGACATCGAGCTGCCCACGCCCACTATGCCCCCCCGCCCCGCCCTCTGAGGTCAAACACAACCCTGATGTGCCCCTCAATGAAATCGAGTTTGACACCCCTGGCTTAGATGGTGAAAGACCTAAATATTCTGCTGTGGCCTTCCCTGTCAATAAAGTAACTCAGCCTTTTTCAACTCTGGCAACTTTTAAGATGTGCGGACCAATTCCCAGAATTCCCCAGCCAGCAATGCCACCCGAAGGGCACCAGGAAATTACTAGGCAGCTGCGTTCTATGCCAGCTTCTGAACACTCTTCAAGGGTAGCTCCATGTACAGTGCAGATGCTGCCTTGCCCCGGTGGCCCATCCTTTGTGGTCTCTGACTGAGCTGGAATTCAGCCCAGATTTCTCCTCCTCTCCTGTTTTGGATATATCGCACGAGGTTATTTGTAGCTCTAGTTGGTTGATTTCTCCCAGGGCATCTTAGAGGCATTAAAAAAAATGAATATAGATTTTGCAGTCAGAGGGGTGCAGTTTAGTGAGAATTCATATGATTTCCTTTTTTCTTTTTTCCTCTCTTTCCCCTCAACCTAATCAATAACTAGTATAACAATTCTTCACAGCCTAGCAATTTCTATTCTGGGCAAAATACTTTGTGCTTTTAGGCTGACTGATTGTACTTCCAGCTTTCATTATCGCATTTCAAAGGGGGGCAAAAAAACGGCACTTGGATGATTAATATCTTTTTCTAAATTGAAAAGTAAGTTCTGCCTTGTTTGTATGTGGATGTTTTAATTCGTTCTAAAAAACTTCCTTCTGGTGGTTTTTCACCATTAAAACATAAACTTGTCCAGAGGTCTCTACAGGTCGCCCTCGACTTACGACCACAATGGACCTCAAAATTTCTGTTGCTAAGCAAGGCAGTTGTTAAGTGAGTTATGCTTCATTTTATAACCTTTTTGCCATAGTTGTTAAAGGAGTAAATCTGGCTTTCCCCCCCATTGATTTGGCCTGTCGGAAGACAGCTGGGAAGGTTACAAATGCTGATCACATGACCCTGGGACAGTGCAACAGTCATAAGTACATGCCAGTTGCCAAGTGCCTGGATGGGATGACCTGAGACAAGGCATAAAGGTCACACAGCTAGCTGGGAATTCAAACTCCCCTTTAATGCTCCACATTTCTCCTCAAATGCTCCCACGTTCTGGACAAGTCCCAGAGCAAAGCGCACATGTGTGTGTGTGCGTGCGTGCGCGCACACACACACACACACACAGAGGGAGAGGGCTGGAGACAGAGGAAGGAAGAAGCAGGCAGTCCTGCAAACTCCAAATGTCTGTACTGGCACACAAAACTCCACTAATTCAGCGTTTGTACCCGAGAAACGCTGCCTCCCCACAGCATCCCCTTAAATCTCTCCTCCCAAGTTGTTGGGTCAGCCTGCGCTGTTCCTGCCTTCTCTCCACTCTCCATGCTCGGGGATCAGGAGGGGGCGGTCCTTGTTCATCGCCTGAGCTCCGTCGCTCCTCATGTCCACTGCTTGCCCTCTTTCGGTCGTCCTGCCTCCATTCCTCCCTGCTAACAAGCCATTCCAATCCTGAGGGGCCCTGGGCTGCCTTGGCCTGCTCCTCCCCACATTCCTCCAAAGCCAGCGAAGCTGCCCTCCTTGATCTCTGTGGGTTCCGGCTCATAGTCCTCCTCTGCAGATACTCAGTGGGCATGACGCCGGATTTTGATCACGTGACCATGGATACCGCAACAGTACTGTGAAAGTCACTACTGATAGGTCACTTTTTTCAGCGCCCTTGTCACTTCAACTGGTCACCAGGCAAGTCGAAGATTACCTGTCATCTGAAAGAATTGCAGATACAGGCAGTCCTCGACTTACAACAATTCATTTAGGGACCGTTTGAAGTTAGAACAGCGTGGAAAAAAGTGAGTTATGACCATCTTTCACACTTATGACCGGTGTATCATCCCTGTGATCACGTGATTTACATTTGGACGCTTGGCATCTGACTCGTATTTATGACGGTTGCAGTGTCCTGGGGTGACGTGATCCCCTTTTTCTGATGAGCAAAGTCAACGGGGAAGCCCAGGTTCACTTAACAGCCATGTTACTAACTTAAGAACGGCAGTGATTCGCTTAGCAGGGGTGAGCAAGGGTGAATGCAGCCTGGCTGGGGCATTGGTGAGAGCCACACCTAGAGTACTGCATCCAGTTTTGGTCACCACATTATAAAAAGGATGTTGAGACTCTAGAAAAAGTATAGAGAAGAGCAACCAGGATGATGATGGGACTGGAGGCTAAAACATACAATGAACGGTTGCAGGAACTGGGCTTGGCTAGTCTAGTAAAGAGAAGGACCAGGGGAGACATGATAGCGGTCTTCCAATATTTGAGGGGCTGCCACAGAGAGGAAGGGGTCAAGCTATTCTCCAAAGCACCTGTAGGCCAGACAAGGAATAGTGGATGGAAACTGAACAAGGAGAGATTTAACCTGGAAATAAGGAGAAACTTTCTGACAGAACAATCAACCCATGGAACAGAAGTTACCCTCGGAAGTTGTGGGAGCACCATCACTTGAGACTTTCAAGAAGAGATTGGACTGCCATTTGTCAGAAATGGTGTAAGGTCTCCCTTGGGTGGGGGGTTGGACGAGATGACCTATAAGGTCCCTTCCAGGTCTGATTATCTGTTAACTCACCAGTGTGCTAAGGGACAGACGAATGTCAGCCTGTCTTAAATCTAAGATTTACAAGACAACCATCCACCCTGTTGCACTTAATGCTGGGCAGCAACAACAGGGACCGAAAGCTCTTTCCATGCCATGGAAATGCGAAGGCTCCGTTGGATACCAGGCATCTCCCTTCTCGACCACATCACAAATGACACCATTCGACATCCTTTTGGTGTGGCACCAATTACAGAAAAGATGAGGCTTCGCTGGGATGGACGTGTCCACAGAGCAGCACCTTCCACCATGGCCAAGATTGCTTACCAAGTAGAAGCCAATGGCTGGCGACCTCACAGGCGCTCAAAACACAGACACCATCAGCAAAGATACACAATCGGCGGGCCAGTGCCCTCAAGACGCGGCTGACCATGCAAAGTGGTGTTCAGTGATCCAAAAAGCAGACCCCGCAACTGTGGGAATATGCTAGGAAGAAGAAGAAGAAGTGATTTGCTTGACAAATGTGAGAAAAGTCATAAAATGGGGCAAAATGCACTTAAATTTCTCACTTAACGACACCAATTTGGGGCTGAATTGTGATCGTAAGTCGAGGACTACCTGTATTTATAAATCACTTTTTCCGGTGGCGTTATGACTGCAAATGGTGGACTAGGCCAAAGGGTGCAAGCCGAAGACTACCTATCATCTTAAAGAATTGCAAATAGTAGCTAGCGAGTTTTTCTTACTAACATTGTTTTTTTTTCCTTCTCCAATGTAGCTTGTCAGCCATCCCAACCGTATTCTTTTCGACCGTCACACTATCAGCCGCAACAGCCTCCTCTTGCTCCTCCTACTTCGACCGCTTACCCTACCTCTAACCCCCCTTACATGCCCTCTAACCCTGCCGGTGCCATGCCTCCCCCCTTATACTCCTCCCAGCCGCAGGCCTCTCCAACCAGCTTGAATCCAAGCCCTTCTCTTCCTCCTCCCCCTGCCTCCTTCCAGCATGGCCGGCCAGGAGCTCCACCGTCTTCTCTGCCGTCGTATGCGTTGCCTCCTGGACCAACAGGTACAGAGACTGCGACCAGTGAGTTGGCTGCTTCCCAAAGAACAGGTCTGCGCTTAAGAGGGCTGCGGGGGTATCTGCATTGCCTATTGAGACAGGGTGTTTTTTTATATTCTTATTATTCTTATTCATGTTGCATGTGTGTGTGGTGATCTTGTCTTGCGGTTTGACACAGCATTTTGACAGTTGCAGAGTGCTTACCCCTCTTTGCATGTCGCCTAGCATCCCACGCTTCCTCACATCCTGTTCAGAGCAATGAAGACAATAGATTTGTGGCCCCTCTTAAGATAGGGTGCAATTGGCATTCCTCCCTGTTTCTTTATGGCGGGGGGTGGGTGGGTGGGGGTGTCAAACTGGATTTCTTAGAGGGGCCGATTCGCATTGTAGTTCGCCGCGGGGGGGGGGGGGGGGGGGGGGGCAGGGAGCAAGATGGGACTGCAGCACTTTGCCGGCCAAAAATGACCCAGTGCCTCTGCCGGCCAAAACAGGTTGCAGGGGGAGGGCGTGTGTGCCTCCCGCACGGCCCGTTTTTGGCCTCCACGGCCTCCTGCAGCACACTGCCAGCCAAAAACAGGCCATGTGGAGGCCTCGTGAGCGCCCCCCCCCCCCCCCCGTCTTGTTTTCAGGCTCCCCGGCCTCCAGTAGCACTCTCCTGGCCAAAAACGACTCGGTGCTTCTGTTGGCCAAAATGGGTTGCAGGGAGGAGCAGTGTGCAGCGCTTGCATGGCCCATTTTCAGCCTCCACAGCCTCCAGCACTTTGCCAGCCCAAAAAGGGGCCTTGTGAAGCTCCCACACACCTCATTCTCGGCCTCCCGACCCATTTTTGGTCAACAGAGTGCTGCTGGCAGGAATAGCTATAACACCCAAGAAGACAGGCTCAATATTCATATGGATCTTGACAGACTAGAACACTGGGCCGTATCTAACAAAATGAAATTCAGTGTAGAGAAAAGTAAAGTCCTACACTTAGGCAAGAAAAACCCAAAGTACCCATATAGACTGGGTGAAACCAGGCTCAATAGCAGTAACCGTGAGAGGGATCTTAGAGTCTTAGTGGGCCACCAGCTAAATATGAGCCAACATTGTGCAGCAGCAGCCAAAAAAGCTAATGCAATCCTAAGTTGCATTAACAGAGGGATACAATTGAGATCAAGTGAGGTACTAATACCACTCTATAAAGCCTTAGTAAGACCACACCTAGAGTACTGCATCCAGTTTTGGTCACCACATTATAAAAAAGATGTTAAGACTCTAGAAAAAGTGCAGAGAAGAGCAACCAAGATGATGAGGGGACTGGAGACTAAAACATATGAAGAACATTTACAGGAACCGGGCATGGCTAGTCTAGTGAAGAGCAGGACCAGGGGAGACAGGATAGCAGTCTTCCATTATTTGAGGGGCTGCCACAGACAGGAGGAAGGGGTCAAGCTATTTTCTAAAGCACCCGAAGGCCAGACAAGGAATAATGGATGGAAACTGATCAAGGAGAGATTCAACCTAGAAATAAGGAGAAATTTTCTGACAGGGAGAACAATCAACCAATGGAACAGAAGTTGCCCTCAGAAATTGTGGGAGCGCCATCACTTGAGACCTTCAAGAAGAGATTGGACTGCCATCTGTCAGAAATGGTGTAGGGTCTCCCGCTTGGGCGGGGGATTGGACTAGATGACCTATAAGGTCCCTTCCAACTCTGATTATCTGTTATCTGTTAAGGGTCTGCTGGAGGCCGGGGGGGGGGGGCGAAAACAGGCCCTGCGGGGGCTGCACGCCCCCCCCCCCCCCCCCGGGCAGCCCGTTTTGGCCGGCAGAGGCACCACGGGCCTGTCCTTTGATGTTTCCAGGCCGGCCACACAGGCCAGATTTAAGCATCCTATGGGCCGGATCCAGCCCACGGGCCTTGACAGCCCTGCTTTATGGGATAATTAGGAAAAGCAGCTTCCATTAACTTTATTGGTTAAAAAGGCACCATACAGTTGCTCACCAAAAGACAGCCAGCGTGTTTGTGCCTGTCAGAAGGAATTGGCAGCTCTGAATCGGCAGCGTGTAGGAGCAACAAGCTGTTTGGTTCAAGAGACTGGGGAAGAAAAAGAATCTGGCTCTTTTATCTATTTTGGTTCTGTCCCAGGATCGCTTAGCTATTGTTTGCAATCTGTGGCTCACCAGCCATGAATCCTTGCTGTGACATTAGCGTGCTGCTCTTTTTATTTACTGGCATGTTTATTCTCATCCTTCCTTCCAAGAAATTTGGAGCTCTTATGTAAATGTCTTTCGCCAACCTCAAGAGAATTGGACCAAACCATGACCTGGTAGCTGATTTCTTGCGTTGTGTGCCAAGCCAGGGTTTTATTTTAACCAGGATCTGGTGTCAGAGCCAGTATGATTGGTTTCACAACTGCTTCAGTATGGTGTGTGAATCCAGCACACAACCAACCTCATAGAACAGGGGCCTCCAGACTTGGCAACTTTAAGACTTGTGGACTTCAACTCCCAGAATTCCCCAGCCAGCATCGGAGTTGAAGTCCACAAATCTTAGTCCACAAGCCTGGAGACTCCTGATCTTAGAATGTAACAACTTCACATCTGACTGGGATATGGAGGCAAGTTACTTCACATCCTTGTCTAAACACTAAACTTTTCTGGGCTTCCAAGATCTTATCTCTTTATGGGTTCTTGGAATGGCATTCTTGGTGCACCTTATTTTTATGCTTATACCCATGCTCCTTCTCCTGCTGCTCTGGCTGGGAGTGATGGGAATTGTAATCCTAACTTATCTACGGTAGAAGGCACAAAGTTGTTGTTTTTCAATTTGCAGAAAGTGTATGCACTTCCTTGAAGCCACTTGGCTTCGGCCATTTTTGGAGAATGCTGCAGTTTTCTGCTGCATTTTATGAGAGAGACCACTGGAGGGCAAAGATGTGGTGTTTGACAAGGGGGTGGGGGTGTTTTTAAATGTTATTTTGAGGGTACTCTTTTTTTTCATACCTGTTTTAGGTATGAAAAATGTTATTTGACGTCTTAGCATCTCTTCTCCTCCCCCCCCTCACTTTTCAGAAACAAATTTTCCAAAAACTAGCAAGAAATCAGTTAGGATTTAATCCAAGGGTACTTTTTTTTCAAGAGGCAACTGGATTTTCGTTTTTTTCTCTGAAGGCTTTTTGCTTCTCATCCAAGAAGCTTCTTCAGCTCTCAAGAAGCTTCTTGGATGAGAAGCTTCGTTTCAAGCGGAAGAAGCTTCTTGGATGAGAAGCGAAATGCAGGCAGTCCAGTTGCCTCTTGAAAAAGTACTGCTGGGACAACCATGACCTGGATGACTGAGAATCTCCACAGATAGTTAGGATTTAGTAATTGACCCTTCCCACTTCAGCAGTGTAATCTAATTCAGGGGTCTTCCAACCCACAGACCGCAGCCCAGTGCCAGGCCTTAGCCTGTTTGAAACCGGGCTGCAGAAGCACGAAGCTGCATTTACGAAAGTGGCACATGCTCACAAAAACACCCTCTCTCTCCACCCTGCCTCCTTGCCAATCCGCCCAGCTGCAAAGGCTGGGAGTGGATCTGATCTAATGGATTCTATAGCGTTAAGTGATTTCAGAGTCATGTTTGGCCCACCTCTCTGAAATCTGGCCTATTTATTTTTTTAAATGTCATAATTCCAACCAATGACCCACTCTCAATCCATTTGGAAGTGTCTGCCCTTCCAGTTGCAAAGCAGTTGAGAAAAGCCATTTAAACCAGAGGCCCCCAACCTTTGGGCACCAAGGGACTGGTTACATGGACAGAGTTTTTTTTGTGGACCAGAAGAGGTGTGGTCTCATGTGCTACCAGCATATGGCGGATGGAGCTTCGCTGGTTTGTGGGGCCCAGTTACTGGCCTGCCCTGGACTGGTGCCAGTCCATGGACTAGGGCTTGAGAACCTCTGCTTTAAGAAATGCAATTTCCCCACCAGGGTCTGAACAGAAGCACGTGTGCATGATAAAACATCTGCTGCTCTTAAGTTTGTTAAGCATGGCATAGACAAGGTGTGGCTTTAAAAAACAAGCTTTTAAAATCTTTTTAACCTTGCTTTTATTCCTCTTTTCTCCCCTTTGGTCCTGGGCACACTTTAATGCATTAATAACAGACCTGTTCCTTTACTGATGTAATTTAATATTCCCTCATTTTTTAAAAAGGATAATACCCTAAATGGAAAGTGTGGAGGGCTTGATTTCTCAGTGGGAAAAGATTTCCTCTGTCTATCTATTAGAGTGAAGGCTTAGTTGAGGTGTTGCCACTTCCACAAGTGCCTTTGTATGGATTTAAGATCGTTGCCCTTTCCTGGAAAAAAAACCATTAGGATGCTTTGCAGATTCACTGTCAGGACGAATTGTTCCCAGGCTGTAAACTCACAATCTATATCCTGCCCAGCTTCAATTACTGGGATTTGAAGTCTGACCTTAGTCATCCTGATTCAACCTGCAGACTTTTCTTAAGACAGAAGACTTGGCTAAGGCAGATACTTCCCTATTCAAAGCTGTATATATAACCCTGAATTTATTTACCTGGAAGTAAGTTCCAATGAAAGCAGTAGAACTTACTTCCATATCAATACACATGGAGCTGTATTGTTGGCAGATCCACCCAACATCTAAAAGGAATTGATTTATAAATGGCTCAAGAGTGAATCACCAAGTCTAGTAGACCAAATCATCTTCCCAGTGGCAACAAAGTACAGAAACTTTGCATGATCCTGTTGTCCTTGCTTCTTACCTGCCATGAGTCAGTTGTTGTATTTCCATGCATTTCCCCCTCCCCCGTTTATCTCATGCAGGACACCACATTAATGTGGGTCTTATCAAAGGACCTAACTCCTTTCCTGCCAAAATAGGGCCACGTCAAGGTTGTTTATTATCTGGCGACTGCCATAACTACTTAAAATAATATTAATGTTAAGCAAAAGTCCTATGTTTGTAATTTCCTTTATAGCTATAAATATAGTTGTTTTAATTGTTAGCAACAATGGATGGAAACTAATCAAGGAGAGAGGCAACCTAGAATTATGGAGAAACTTCCCAACAGTGAGGACAGTTAATCAGTGGAACGGCTTTGCCTTCAGAAGTTGTGGGTGCTTCATCACTGGAGGTTTTTAAGAAGAGACTGGACAACCATTTGTCTGAAATAGTATAGGGTCTCCTTGAGCAGGGGGCTGGACTAGAAGACCTCCAAGGTCCCTTCCAGCTCTATTCCGATTAATTTGGTTCTTAAGGAGAACGTCAACTCCAGGGCCAGCTTCCAAATAAAACAGTGAAGTGTTAGGAAACATCAAGTAAGGCCATCAAGTAATCCCATCTATTACTCCCTCACACAACATCTACTGCTTTCAGCTGGACGTTTGCTATGCCGCTTGTTGACCTGGATGGATGGATCTTTAGAGGTCTTCAAAGCCTAATGTCTACTGCTAGCATCACAAAATTGGAGGGATGGACAGCAGGTCTCCTTATTGTCCTTAGGACTATGCAGATCAGATTGGTATTGGACCATAGAACAGGTGTTGTTTTCTCATCAGGAAGGGTGAAAGATAGCCAATGGACAGTGGTCCCACTGATAACCATTTTATTTTTACAATGCTGCCCTTGTATCTTCCAAAAACCAAATTAGGAACCATGAATTGAGATGTAGACAAACTTCTCCAGAACTTCCACAGTGCAGGATTTCAAGACTAGTTGTTCCTTGTTCTTCTTTTTTCTTCTAAGAAATTTCTCAGTGAGAACATTAACAGCAAGCACATTATTTGAAAGATACCACCACAAAGTTCCCCAAGATGACATGCCTCTACTGCATCTCTGAATATAGGAGGAAAAGGGAAGACATTGTTCTCAGCAGAATAACCCTACAAGTTATTCAAGGATGTCTTCCTTTCCCGTTTTGTCCTCCAACCTTATTACATTGATCTAACTATACAGTTTTGTCCAACATGGTTTCTTTCAGAAACTATTGTCTTTAACCAGTATAATCCAATTTCATCTAGTGGTTTAGGGCACCAGGCTACAAAACGGGAAACTGAGTTCTAGTCCCACCTTAACTCTGAAAGCCGATTGGGTGGTTTTGGGCCAGTCACACATTCTCAGTCCAGCTCACCTCACAAGGTTGTTGATGTGAGGGAAACTAGCAAGAAGAAGGTGTTTTGGATATGTCTGCCACCTTGAGTTATTTGTAAAAAATAATAAAGGAGGGACACAAATAAATAAATAAAAACCAGCATATCAGAGGTACATCTGGAGGAATGGGCATTTTACTATGAGTAGTAAAACTGCAAGTATCTGCAGAGTGAAAGGTTTTAGAAGCTACACTCTACTGCAGAGAGAAAAAGCTGCATAAGCAATTCTTTCAGTTTTTAATCAAGTCTCTGCTCGTTTCACACACTCCCCTTCCCATCCCCATTTCAGTAATAAGAAATAGAAATCACCAATTCAATCGTGCATATTGCAACACGCCATAATTTCATTAACTTTTTTAATTGAGCTACAGTTCAGTTAATTGGTTCACACTATGTCTGAGCCATAAACCAAGCTTTTTAACCTCCAGTGGCTGCAGTTTGCACAACATGTTAAACCCACAAATAATAAGGAATCCTCATTGTGGCTGAGAGCATTGTGTACATTTATTGCATATTTGATAAAATTCCAGGGATGAATGTGGAGAATGATACGAATGTGGCTTTTGTGGTGTTTACTGTATCTCCAAGTACAAACTTAGAAAAAGAAAAACCGAATGATCGTTCGTAACGTGTAGTTTAAAATATCTCCTAAGTTGTTTTTGTATTTTACCTGCAGAATATCATTATTTACAAGACCAAGACAGTTTCCTGGAAGGTGAATTATGTTGTAAAATAAATGAAACCCAACAAAAGGATCTAACAAGTTTGAATCGCTAGCATTGCATGCAATCGCTATTTCAAATTCCGAGTGAATTAAATTTAGTAAATTTCAATGAAATTTAGCCTCCAATAACATTTTTTAAAATGAAAATGATCATAAAATAAAGTAACTAATCTGAGTTTTCCAATCGAGGCTCTGATCAGCCGTTAAAACAGATGATGAAGTTCTTAATAATCGTTCTGCAAAATATTCATGTCCAGTCAATTCTATAGTGAGTAAAACAGCTTTTGTAACAAGCAAGAAAATTCACCTACGTGTTATGACCACAATGCAATCTTTAGAATAGTACCCCTAGCCTGGAAAATACGTATGGCGTTTAAAAAAAAAGAGGGGGGGTTGTGGTGCCGAAGATGGAATTATTTGGGTAATTGATGCAAATGAAAGAGTTTTACAGAAATTACCCAATATGCTTGCAACCCCAATTGGCATCACAATTTCCATTGCTACGCATGGCTGGCGATGGTTAAAAGAGTCGTGTCCAATTTTACAACCTTTGTTTTGGTCACGGTTAAGTGAAGCACTGAAGTTAAGTGATTGACACAGTTGTTAAGCACACCTGGCTTCCCCCCACTGACTGTATTTGTTGGAAGCCAACTGGGCAGGTTGCAGGTGGGGAATCACATGACCCCAGGATGCTGCAGCCATCATAATGGCATGCCAGTCGCTCAAGCTTACGAATTCTGATCACGTGACCATGGGGATGCTACACAACGGTCGTAAATCACTTTTTCAGTGCCGTTGTAACTTCAAACAGTCACTAAAGGAATGTTTGTAAATTGAGGGCTACATGTAGCTCCTTCCTCAAGTAGACACCCCACCCACCCCCAAGATAAAGAACCAAAAAAACATCACGAACATTTTCATCTGAGGCCAACTCATTCCATCGCTTGTAGATAATAATGATAGTAGCAATAATGCCCAGGCTGGAATAATCTCCAAAGAGATCCAAGCTTGTCATAGAGAAAGAACTGTCCACAAGCCCTGTGTTTGGGATGCCAAGACAAAATTTTACAACCAGGTAATTGTGTTGCAGAACAGACCTTATTAGCCAGCACTCAGATTTCAGGAGGAGGAGAGAAGCAGGAAGCAAACTGCAATAGCTTTTCAGCAAAAGTTTCTAAGGCGCAAAACAAGCTTCGCCTCTCATTATGTTGTGGAAAACATAAATCGGAGTTTAAGAGATGCAGCTGCCAGGAACTATAATTTGTATATCTAGCGTCCCCTCATTTGCCAGGCAAGGATGCATCTGCTGGAGGGAAAAATTCAGTTTCACTTACTCCATTGCAGTCTGGCACTCTATAAATTATTGCGATTCTGTTATGTTTTTGGCTGGTTGATGAAAGAGGAATGCAGAACGCTAAACCATTGGTCATCTTAAATCCAGCAAGTGGCCAATCCCAAATCATTGGTCATCTTAAATCCAGCAAGTGGCCAATCCCAAATCATTGGTCATCTTAAATCCAGCAAGTGGCCAATTCCAAACCATTGGTCATCTTAAATCCAGCAAGTGGCCAGTCCCTGCATTTTGACCGAATACTGGTCATGTTCTCTTGCCTAGTATTTTTTGTGCGTTCACCTCATTTTTAAAAGCAACAAACACGAAGCTGAAATTCTTATAAAGCAGAATTGATACTTCTTGTGCCTGGTAGATCTTGGGAGACCTAGATGTGAACTGTATTGATGGCATGTACTGCTAAATGTCATTACAAAGGCCAACAGCGATAATTTGCATTTGGTGCATTTCTCACATTTACTTGGCAGATTTATAGGTTCTCCAATTCTGATTAGTTTTTTTTAAAAATGCGATCAGATAACCTCATGATTAAAAAAAAAAAACCAACCCCAGAGAAATTACTCTGAAAGGCCTTGGTGAAAAAAGGCACTGTTGCGCAACAAATGTGTTCTTTGTTTTTATTTGAAACAATCCTTGCAATGAATGAAGGACAGAACATTGAGTTCTGGGTACCATCCAAATTATTTTTAGGACGGAATCTGGGGAATTCCTGAATAAGAGGTAAAAAATCCACTGGGAATATGTGCTCCTACAGCTTTGCCATTCAGAAAAGCTCTATTTTCAGTTGGACTTTCTGAGACACGATCGCTAATAGATTCAAATGTGCTCAGCATCATAAAAGCAGGAGCACTGAACAAAGCTAGATTTATATTCTGCGGATTATCTACCCATCTTTTTAGCGTTGTACATCGTCTCTCAGCCTGATCTCTCGGGCAAAGCACATTTCCTTGTGGACAGATATATTTCATTTGAGCTCACATTTCCCCCAATTTACAAGTCAATGTGCATGTGCACATAGAGATCTCCTAATGTGAGGAGTTGGGGTTGTTGTCTTTTTTCTCACCATGGACCTTGAGAGAGTATTTTCCACCCTAGCTTTTTTTTTTTTAGCTTTACATTTTCCTCGAGCATCCTTGTTTAGAACTGAAAAAGCTATACGACAATCATTCTTTTAAGCATTAGAACATTAGAATAGTTAGCTTAGAATCTTGAAGCACACGTAGAAGGTGGTATGGGCTACCAGCTTGCCAAGCTTCCCAAAAGTATTAGGCCAATACGCAAAAGTCCTGGAGATGAACAGCTATTAATTTTGATGGCAGTGTGACTGCCTCTGAAGGCCATTGTTCTGAACAAGGCTTATTGAGACACTAACAAACACACATTAATCTCAAAACCCTTTTTAAGTCTGATAAGCATGCACCTTTATCTTCCTTGAAATGCTGCCAATTACTAAATTTCCAATTAGTTATACAAGGCCAAATGGAGCACAAATTCAACACAGAACTTCAGGTTTCAAACCAAGCAGTATGAACAAAGTTGCTTCCTGCAAAGGTTCCTGTCCCTTTGCTCCTCCTTTATATCTTATGGGAGGGCCAATCACCTCCAAGCCTTACTCCTGAGTTGCCCCTTTTGTCTTAACTGTTCTTACCCTCTGGCAGCTCTGCGCATATGCGCACTGGGAACAGGCTCCCTTTGTTCTTCTGCCTCGCTGTTGTCAGATTCTGGAAGCTCTGGAGTCAGCACATAACTCCCAGATGGCCCTGGCCCTATCTCTGTGTTGGACGCAAGACCTTTGTCCGAGTCTCCCCCAGACCCCCGGACTGGCCCATGTTCCTCCCCACTATCCGACTTTGATGCCATCTCTGCAGGCTGCCAGAGGACCACAACAGCCTTCTGCTGAGAGGTTGGTGGCTTCCTCGTGCAGTTGGTTGGTCATCGTGAGAACAGACTGTTGGGCCAGATGGGCATGGATCTAGTCTGGCAGAGCCTTCCTTACGGTCTAACCTCAAGAGATTCTGACCCAGCCTATTGTAATTCCACATAATAAGCCACTGACCTGGGATGGAGAGAACAACACTCCATTGGCAGTTTCCCCATTGGCTTCTATCAATTTCCTTGTCAAGAGTTCAATTCCACCTTTCCCACCAGAGCCAAGGGGGTGTGGGTAGCCCTTTCTCCTTTATATTGTCGCTTTCAACAGAAAACAGTAAAGTAGAGCTGGCCCAGACTCATTCCTGGTGGTCGATTGTGAAACCTGGTTTTGCTCAAAGCCCCCTCTTTGGAATTTGTAATGGCTGTTCCACCCTACTGACTCTTGATTCTTCTTGCAGGTCCCCAGAATGGCTGGAACGACCCGCCTGCTCTGAGCAGAGCTGGAAAGAAGAAAAAGGTTAGTGTTCGGACCCAACTGTGTTCCCAAAGAGCAAACACAGACAAAGGCAGCAGCCCCCACCTTTTAAGGTTCAATAACAAATTCTGTTCCTTTACAGATAAAAGGCTGTTTTCCACTAATTAGCTCCGACAAGAAAAAGCCTTACCAAGTTGTTTGTCAATGATGCCAAAAAGACAGAGATAAGAACTAATTTACAAGGTTTTCCAAACACGAACTAAGATGTTCACAAGTTGAGCTTCTTTGCTTTCTGCAAAGAACGCTTTTCCAAACCTGGCTTTTATCCTCTTGAGGGAGGGGCCATTACCTTGCAGCCTTACTCCCGAGTCGCCCGTGCTGCTGTAATTGCTCTTTCCTCCGAGCAATCCTCTGCGCACATGCCCTTGGCACAGGCTCCTCGGGAACCTCCTCATCGCTGCTGCCAGCCCCCACAATCTCTGAAGGCAGCAGTCCACTCCCTGACGGTCCTGGCCCCTCATCAGAGTCCTGGTTCTGCTCGGCCATCCGCACCTGCTGCCGGCTAACCACAACAGGTTAGCTACACAAGCGTGAACCCCAATAAAGACCAGTCTTCTCCTTCCCAGCATTATTCCCGTGCGATGGCAGGGTCCGCTTGTCGGCAAGGCCGTTTCCATTGGGATCCATCCAAGGGCGACGCCCACGTATTTCAGGCCCCCCCTGGAGGCAATCCATCCACCTTTTCTTGGGTCTGCCATGGGATCGCTGGCCTTCAGGAGGCAGACACTTGGCTGTCCTTGCCACTGAGTCTTCTTGACCGCATCAGTACCAGTCTGGCGGACAAATAATGCTCAGCCAGGGTTTAACCCTGCAGGATGGAGGGATGGAGACCTCTTCAGACACAACGACTGCAAGCTTCCCCTTTTTCCGCCCCTTCCATCTTTGGGAAAACAATACGTCAAAAATGTATTATTGCTTTAATGGAGTGATGGGGATTGTATTTTTTCTGTGTGGCCCAAAGCATCAAGTATTTGTTCAGAACGGCATGCAGGTTGGACCGTTCATGGCTTTTCGCTGCTTGCCTAATGGGCAAAAGAGCAATTCTGGAAAATATGAAATGCTGAGGCACATACACAGTCCTGCAAAAAAAAAAAAGCCCACAGCAGAAGTGATAAAACATGTCATTGTTTCCCCTTAAACAGTGAAAATATGCAGCTTAATGTTGCAGGGATGCTGAAAACATTCTTACAGAATTGTGATTTGCGAATAGGACAGAATTAGAAAGTTACTAAAAATAAGTTAGGGAAAGTTAATAGTAACCACTTTTAATCTTAATTAAATAGAAATTCAATGGCACTGTCCTGTTCTTAACTACAGGTTTTTTTTTTAATCTTTTTAAATGACAACCCTGAATAAGGGCTGCCCCTAGGTCCAGAAAATGTTGTGGATCCCTAATTTAAAACATCATTTGGAAAAGAATGGCAAAGATGGTAACATTTGAGTCATGTGAGATTGAGGGGGGGGGGGAGATGGGATTTTTGTTCAAATCCAAATTTTAGGGGTGTGATTTTATGATATGCAACGAAGAAAAATTTTAATGGCAGTTTTCATTGGAAACAGCTGCCTGTCTTTTTCTAGTCAATTGTCTTACATGTTTAAAAGGCATATTCCTAAGTTCTTAATACTAAAGTTAATTTTCATGGATATTTTTAAACCAGTCAGCTGATACCACCTGCTAGGTTTTTTTTTAAATTCAGGGTAATAAAATGAAGTAGTTCCCACAATTACTTCAACTGATAAATTCCAATATATGTTTTTCTTGTTGCAATGTTTGACTCATCCCTCTATCTATCTATCTATCTATCTATCTATCTATCTATCTATCTATCTATCTATCTATCTATCTATCTATCTCTATCTTTGTCTACTATCTATCTCTATCATCTCTATCTATATCTCTTTCTCTATATCTCTGTATACTATATATCTATCTATCTATAAAATTTATTCCCCCCCCCCTTATCTCATATCCAACAACTCTGGATGTCTGACAACATTAAAACCTTGAAAAACGTGGCACTGAATTTTAATTAGTCAGCCGTTTTAATTAGCCAACCCTCATCACGTCCTTCCTTCCTTGTTTTCCTTGTAGGTGCCTGATACCTTCCTGCCTCCTGTTCCCATCACGGCCCCCATCATGACTCCTTTGTCAGACCCACAAGCTCAGCTGCAGCAGCCTCCCACTTCGGCCCCGCCTCTGACTCAGGTCCCCTTCCAGCCCTCCCATCTGCCTCCGGGCCAGCCAGGGTTACAGAACCCCTTCCAGAACGTTGCACCGCCAGGGGTCCAGACAATCATGACTCCCACCGTATCGGCATCTAGCATGGAAGGAGCACCAGGAGCTCCAATAGGAAACACAATGCAGGTAAGCTGGTTTTGATAGGCTAGCAATTCAAGAGGTGCGTGCATGCACAACTTTGTCCATGGTAGAGTCTTCTCCGGAACCTTTTGAAGAACTCCGGAGGCTGAAAACACCATAGATGGGGAGATGTCTGCTAAGGAGGAATTGTGGAATAATGTCTGCAGGAAGGTCTTCAGGAAATTCCACTGGGGTGATTTCCCTGTCAGGATTCCGGCAGTTACCCCAATTAAATCATGAGTCTTGAGCCAAACTTCCAAAACTCAAAAAGGATTTATTGGGAATTAAACTGTCAGGCATTGCCTGGGTGTAGCCGACTCTGAGACACAAAATTCATTGTCACCCTTGACTCTGGTTTCCCCCCCACCCCCTGGGTGTATCATAATTCATATTCTCCAATGGGACACATCCATAGCCAAGAGTCATCAGTCATGCTCTCCAGTTAGAATTTTGCACAGCAGAAACTTCGGTCACCTCGTTACTATCTTTGAAAACATTTATGGAATGCAGTTTTGGTTTGCAAGCAGCTGCACTGCTCCCCCCTCCCTTTCTGTTGGCAACTCTAAAAAGATCATAGAAATATTTTATGAGTTGCCATTCCCCTGCCCTTTGTCCCTCCCACTGAAGTTTGTCTGTGAAAAGAATTATGACATGAACTTTGTCCGTGATTGAACTTTGACTATGATATGAACTATGCTGAACCGATAGAAGAGAACATCTGTAGGATTGAACTGTGGGGCTCTCTGAGCTTGGTTGTTTCCTCGCAGACATTTCATCACTACATTAGGTAACATCATCAGTGCTAGTAGGGCGTGAGGGGTTTGCTCTCATTTTATATTGTAATGGCTTGTCCCTTGGCAAGAACTTCCAAAGAAGCTAACCATAAACAACAGCCCAGCCAAGAAACCACCAAGCCCCACTCCCACCAACACGGACAAAATTGGGGTTGTGCAAATTCCCCCCCCCCCCCCCAAAAAAAAGCTTCAATTATTTCTTTCTCTCTCCAGCACATGCAATCCCTGCCCACGGAGAAGATCACAAAAAAGCCCATTCCCGAGGAACATCTTATCCTAAAGTCCACTTTTGAAGCTTTGATCCAGAGATGTCTCTCTTCAGCTACAGATCCGGTACGTCTTTCACAGGACACGCCAGCTCTGCTATTTTTTTTTATTTTATTTTTTATTTGAAATGCATTTTGCATTTACACAATCATACATCCATAACTTGTGGCATCCATCATTAGGTGACAAGTCGCGCCAGAGCTGATTTATTACACCTAGCACAGCTCTCCCCATGTTTCATATAATCAGGTTATCAGGGAAATGGCAGAAGTGCAGCTACCGTGTGATTTATGCGGTGGGTCACAGAGGGAGCCTCTCCTTTGAGAAGCCCTGATGAAATTTAGGGGCTTGCCAGCACCCAGGGGAAGCAAACAGTAAAGCTATGCAAAATATCCACTTACAGCTACGTCTAAAATGGGAAATAGATGACAGCCGTAGTCCTGTTAGCTCTCTTGACTTACTAAGAGAACAGGTTTTTTTTTTTCTTCTTCTTTTCCGCAAGAGAGGAACATTTAATCGTTTTCTCCAATTCAGTTTGTGATAAGCACTATAGCGCCTGCCGTCCCCAGCCAAGATGGGGGAAGGGTTAGGAAATGATAGAAGCAATAGTAGGAACAAATAATGGAAAAGGTTGCGATGAGCATGACACCATCCTGGGACCTACAAGGAAATGCCAAGGGTTCCAGAAAAATTAGTGGGTTCAGTTCTGTTTGACAGGTCCATAGAGCCAGTGGAAGCTAGATAGAAGAGACATGAATTATTTGTTGACATTATGTCACAAACCACCTCTCGGTTCTTCTTTGGAGAGGATCCAGAATTGAGTATTCTCTTCTTCCTACTACGAGGGTGCAAATCCAGAACTTAGACTCAGCCTGCATTAAGAAGCTTGTTTTTCTTGATCCTAAGCCAGTTGTCCTTTGTAGCTTCTAGGCCAGGGGTGTCAAAACTGGCGGCCCTCGGGCCAGATGCATCACACGCAGGCCACGCCCACCCCAGCTCCGCGAAGGGGGGAAAACATCACAAACGTCACGTGACGGCAGTGGTGGGATTCACCCTTTTTTACTACAGGTTCTATGAGTGTGATTTGCACGCACGCACAGTGTTCATAAACCACCAATTTTAAGCTTCAAAACTGACCTTGTATTCAGTGTTCGTGGGTAAAACAGCTGAGGCGCGGCCATCAGCTCTGCCGCCCAAATCAGCGGAGCTCAAAAACAAGGAAATAAAGCACATTTAAGGGCAGGTGGGCAGGGCCAGCTGCTCACCAGCGCTACCCATTCGCTGGTACTGGTGCGAACCGGCAGCATATTAAAATATTTAAAATCCCAACACATGTGCCCACATCCCCACCTGTTTCTTTTCTCCAAAGGGAGCAGCGAGATATTCAAAGATATGGCACCTCTGGAGGATGGCAAAGAGGACAAACTACGCCAGATTTTAACATGTGCAAAAAATCCTTAGATATTGCATTCAGTCTGAATGCAAGGTGTTCCCAGGGGTAGAAATGGTTAAAGTGAAATTTCTAACTTCATTCCTTTGGATTCCCCACGGATGTACACCTTGAAAACACAGGTAAATGCAACTGTGGCTTTCTGTCAGTGGAATAAGACAGTGTTTTCAGTAATTTTCTGCCCTGCTTCCTCCCATAGCAAACCAAGAGGAAATTAGACGATGCCAACAAACGCCTGGAGTTACTGTATGATAAGCTTAGAGATCAGACGGTAAGCTTTATATATTGCCATGCGTATCTCTTCCATCCAGTGAATGACATTGCATTTTGTCGGCTAGAGCCCAGTGTTCAAGTGCGTCAAGATCAGGGGTGTCAAACTCAAGGCTCGCGGGCCGGATCTGGCCCGTGAGGTGCTTAAATCTTAAATTAAAAGGCCGGCCTGGAAATATCAAAAGACCAGCCTGCATTGCCTCTGCCAGCCAAAATGGGCCATGGGCAGGGTGTGTGCGCGGACACACACACGCACACACACACACACACGTCCCGTGGCCCATTTTCAGCCTCCAGGGCCTCCTGCAGCACTCTGCTGGCCGAAAACAGGCTGCACGTGTCAGGGTTCCAAGTAACGCCCCCAATGGAATCAAAACTTGAATAATTGTATATAGGAAAAAACATATATAGGTATATGTGATATTGACCAAAAGTTACGTCAAACCAACTTCACCATGTTCCATGTTTTTAATTGTTATCTTCAATAAAATATTGAAAAATAAAAAAAGCCTCCAAAGCAGGCGTTTTCCTCAAAGCTTGAATTTATTAGAAATGTCGTATTGGCACATCGGGGGAAACCTGAATCGGAAAGCCCCCTGGGTTTTCCCCACCATAGTAAAGTCAAAGTTCCTTCCCCTGCATCCACATGGGCATCATCACATGGTCTGATCAGGTCACTGTCCCACCTGTAGTTGACTCCCAGGTATACACCCCGCCCCCAGGTGCAGGCTGAACGTTCTTGACTCCCAAGGGGGAAAAAAATGTTGTTATGGCTATACATCCCACGCTGTCTCCGTCCACCCTCCTCCTGTTCCCACAGCTTGCCCATCCACCACTTGTGGCAGCCCTAAAGATCCAAATTTAAACATGGCCTCCAGCGCTGACAGTGCAGAGGCCTGCGTATGGCCCGTTTTTGGCCTCCAGGTCCTGGAAATGTGTCGCGCGGATGCCCCAGGAGGCCCCCACACGTCTTGTTCTTGGCCTCCCAGGCCTCCACTCTGCACAGCCCATTTTCATCTGGTAAGAGTTCTGCAGGAGGCCAAAAATGGCCCCCGCACCTCATTTTGGCCGTCAGGGTGCTGCAGGAGGCCATCCATCCCGTCTCCTCCCCCGGCTGGCCCGCGGAGGACAACTACTATGCTGATCTGGCCCTCCAAAAAATCCAGTTTGACACCCCTGCGTTAGGGAAAGAGGATACAGCCACAGCCTTATAGGAATAGGAACGGAACGGAATAGAATAAGAGAAGAGAAGAGAATAAGAGAATAGAATAGAACAAGTGGAATAGGATAGGATAGGATAGGATAGGATAGGATAGGATAGGATAGGAT